TAGTTAATTCGATCGAAATACAATCGGCGCGTCATTTTTTCTTTCCTTTTTTCTTTTCTATTTTTTTTTCTTTTTTTCTTTTTTTCTTTTTTTCAATTTTTCGTCAAATCGTAATAATTTAACGTGAAAAATAATTATCTAAATATATCAGATAGCTAATCACGTGATCCAAAAATTACGCCTATAGATCATTTAACGTTCAACCGTAAATATGATATAAGAAAAATATTAAAAGATTCAAAGTTTCGATCATATTTTCAAACATTTACAATGATAAGAAAATAATTTGATACAAAAGACAAATGATTTATAACGATCGATCGATTAATATACTTTTCATTGGAATATACATAAGTAAATATCTTAATCGACGTATTATTTTTAATTAATAATTATAATGTTTAAAGATCGAATTCGTTCGAAAGTTTTCCCTGAATATTTCGAAATCGTAATCTTAGGAAAGATTCAGGTGAAAGAAACAATCGTTTGTATTCGTGTCTGTGAAACGTTGACATTTTCATCGTAAAAATGCGTTCGTTCTATCCATCGTGAAATATCATCGAGAAATGTTCGAATTTAAAAGAAAGTTGGATAGAGGGAAAAAGAGAAAGAGAGAGAGAGATAGAGATAGAGAGAGAGAGAGAGAGAGAGAGAGAGAGAGAGAGATGAAGGAGGGAAAAAAGTGTTCGTTGAATTTGTAGACGAAACGATGGTGAACGTTAAAATTGATGATCTCTCTCTCTCTCTCTCTCTCTCTCTCTCTCTCTCTCTCTCTCGGCCAGAATATCTCGGGCAGCTAGGCACTTATCATAAGTCACGCGTGGCACGACGGCAATTTTTCGAATTCCTTGAGAGAAATTTCGCGTGACCGTAATAGTCTATACTAGCTTCCCACTAGTTTCTTCCTTTTCTTTTCTCCTTTTTTTTTCTTTTTTCTTTTTTTTTTTTTTTTTTTCTTTTTTTTACACTTTTTTTTTCGCGTAAGAACTCTCTCTTTCTCTCTCTCTCTCTCCTCTGTCTCTCTATCTGTCTTTCATTCTGTCTCTTTTTCTTTTTCGTATCTCTCTTTACTGCATGAAAAATCGTCTAGAAGAATTTTATCGTAAACGATAAGAAAGTATTCGTGCTTTTCTATTCCTTTGTTTACCAGCTTTTCCATCTTCATGGTATTATATATATATATATATATATATATATATATATATATATATATATAGTACTGGTATGAGTGTGTATACGAGTAAGAGAGACGGATAGAGTGAGATCGAAAGAGATCGAGAGAGAGAGAGATCGAGAGAGAGAGAGAGAGAGAGAGAGAGAGAGAGAAGGAAGAAAATTATTACAGCAGAGCTCGCTCGATGGTTCGTTCTACCGTTTATCGTTTTACGCGTTTCTCTCTCGCCCAGAGAATCCTCGAGGGTATTTCGAGGTAAACTTTGAGTTCGGCTTCTTGTCGTGAACGATAAGAAGAAAAGCGAGAGCCGCCAGACCACCGTTCCGCCGATTATATCTTCTTCTCGTTGCTTTGCGTTCGCACGATCAACGGGATAAACTTCGTGTCCAAGCGACTATTAATGTTCGTATAGAACAGGATATTCGCTGAGCAAACAACTTCTTCTTCCGTTGTGTTACTTCCTCGTTGGTATTCATTGGACATCGTTTTTTCTTATATATTATTACCTAGTCTAGACGAAATTGATATCTTTCTAGAGAAAGAGAGTGAGAGAGAGAGAGAGAGAGAGAGAGAGAGAGAGAGTGGAGCGGGGGGAGGAGGGGCCGCGGGTAGTTGGATATAAATAATTTAATTATAATTTTATAATTTACAATTATAATTTTTATATTTAAGAATTATTTTCATTTGTCATTCTTCATATGTCATTTATACTTTAATATTCGACTTGGATCTTTTAAATAAATAAATTAGAAATATAATCAACAGGTCGATATTGTTACAGATATCAATCGTAACTTTTTATATTGTATTTAAAAATTATTACCATTTGAATTATTTATCTAGTTTTGCGTTTAAATGTTATCAATTAATCTTATTGTTTCTAATTGATCGCCGATGAAATTTGACAATTTTTTTTGTTTTTGTTTTAAATTAAATTAAATTAAATTAAATTAAATTAAATTAAATTAAATTAAATTAAATTAAATTAAAAAAAACAAAAGAGAAAAAGAAAAAATAATAGTAATAATAATAAAAGGAGAAGAAAAAAAAAGATATGAATTAAAAGTGTGAATTATCGATATCGACGATCATTCATTCTTCTTGATCGTTTATTTTTATATACATTTATATATACATTGAAAACAGAGAGAGAGAGAGAGAGAGAGAAAAAAGCATAGTTAAATTTTTCTTTCGATATTAATACTACTTTTGAATGTGAAAATAATGGATCTTTTTTTTTTTTTTTTTATTTTTTCTTCTTTTTTCCTTTTAAATAAGAATAGAACAAATACGGATGTTTCTACAAAGAAAAGAGACAAAGAGAAA